ACAGAAAACACATACATTTACAAACATTTACAAACTCTGGGTGATCAGAATCTTGATCAGAATCAGAGTTTTTATGCTAACCTGTTTATTTACTATTAAAAACAAACAACCCCCCCCCAGAGAATACATTATTAAAGGTTGCTGGACAGAGTCACCGGTCAGGAATGTAGATACTCATTCATGCTCTAGTTACCCGAAGGATTACTAGTGTTAATACAGTGGTTTCTTTTCTTCTCAGATGAGCAGGAACTGGTGAAGGTGAGGGAAGGGTCAAAGTCTGTCATCCTGCCCTGCGAAACAAAACCTAACCTGTCTGAAGACACCACAGTGGAGTGGACTCGCTCTGACCTCGGACTCATAATGGTGGATGCTTATCCAAACAGAAAAGATGACCCTATGACTCAGGACGACCTTTACGCAAACAGAACAAAGATGAATGAAGACCTGCTGAGAACTGGAGACCTCAGTCTGACCTTAAAAAAACCCACACAGAGAGACAGTGGAGGATACATCTGCACCATCTACAGGGACAAAGACATCCTGAGACAGAAAGTAGTGCTGCAGGTCAAAGGTCATTGCTGTAGATACAAGTCAGAGGTTAGTGCTGCAGATACAGATCAGAAGTCCTATTTATTTCATATAAAATGTCTCCACAGAACAATTTGCACATTGGGCCAGCCTTCTGGTGGGTATCGCAGGTTTCCTGGTTCTCCTGTTGCTTCTTGTGGTTTCTGGAGGTCTTTTATATTATTTTCGTCACTATTTCAAGTCAGGTGAGTCCCTCACACTGCTCTACCCATAATTTCGATGGTGATTTGACTGTGTTCACATAAGATCTTCATGGTTTCTGTGCTGATGTGTGTGAGACATGGCCGACTGTGGAGGCTCAGTCTGTCTGTGCTTCTTCATCCAACACGTCTGCAGCACTTTACAGGACGCTGCAGACTAGTTACCAAAGAACGAGTCAGGAACACATCAGGAACAAACTGAGACACAATCTGACTGAGACTAGAAGACAAGGAGGGGACAGGGAGGTCATGTGACCATCACAGCTGCTGCTGATGTCATCATGTTGTGCTTTGTTGTCTCAGGTTACCAAAAAGTGGTGGATTCAGGGGTGGAGTCTGTCCAGCTGCCGTGCAAAACCGCAGTTAAGTTCTTGAAAGATGCAAAAGTTGAGTGGGAGGACAGAGACAAAAGGAAGGTCCACGTGTATCAGAATGACTCTGACCAGCTTGGAGTACAGGACGAGTTTTACAGAGACCGAACGAAGATGAAGAGAAACTTACTGGAACCTGGAGACCTCAGTCTGACCTTGAAAAATCCCACAGAGGGAGACACAAACACCTACACCTGCACCATCTACAGCAAGGAGGGAAACATCCTGAGCAAGAAACAAGTGGAGCTGAAAGTGAGAGGTCAGTGTTGTGTAAGTTACAGGTTAGAACGTACTTTCATATGACATTTGTGACCTCCTTCAGTCTGAGCTGTTTGCATAACTAAGTCAGCAAAGGTAGAGCTTAGTGATCAGCATCAGATTATTGTAAAAATCTCAAAATATATCAGCAGGTTATTGCATGAAATGTAAAATGCAGTTTTAATTAGCGTTTATATAACCTGCTCTTCTTTGTTTATTCATCTTGATGCATGCTCAATCATCCAGGTAAGTAAATCTCCAAAAGTTGATTCTGTTCATCTGGACGCAGCGTTTTCAGTGGGAGAAACGTTTCCTCACTCATCCAAGTGACTTCTTCAGTCTCAGCTGACTGCAGGTTTCCCCAAATCTTATAAACAGGACATTTGCATAATGACTGAAACCAGCCCACTGAAGGAACAATGGGCTGGGAGGTCAGTTCCTTAATCATTAATATGCAAATATTCATGACAGTTGATCAACAACCATGAGTATCATTCACAGAGAGTTGGGGAAAGGCTGCAATCATTCAGTGGTGCTGTTTCAGTCAACCTCAGTCCTAGTATGTGAAACAACTTTCATTCCTTGAATTTAGAACATGACAATTATTGTTTCATTGGTTGTGTCAATCCAGGTTAGGGCAACAGGTGACTGAATGAAAGAAGCTAGACACAGTCATAGGACTAGAGCACCCTCTATAAATTTTTATGTTTTCCTCCTGAGTGGACAACCATGGTAACTGATGGTTAAGACATCAGCTGGTCTGCAACAGGTTATGTTCAGAGTTTCAGGGTCAGTTTACCTGCAACTGCTGTGAAGAAAAAGTCTCAATGTGTTTGTGTTTGGTCCTAATCTGCTGCCAAGTCTGTTTGACATGCTGGATTTCCAGCTGATAGATTAGAAACTGATCAGTCTATTGATCACACAATATTCCATCAATAGAACTGATTCAGAAATTCTTGTTAATAGATAAAGCCTTAAATCAGCATCCTGATAAATATGAGCTCTAACTGGGGTTTTAGATTCGTTGTTTCACTTACACAAACAGAGGACTGGATATATTGAACTTGACTCTGGATGTATTATAGTAACACCAAATTCTTAAATAAGCAGTCAGCTCACAACACTGTCTCTGATCACTGGAGCAATGCGACATATTTCAGACTGGAATCAGTCAAACGCGTTTGGACTGCTAATATTTCACTTCATCCAGTCATCTTGTGTTTTCCTGTTCTCTCAGTCCCTCAGGTGGAGGTGGATTCAGGAGAGGAGTCTGTCCAGCTAATCATGAAAACCAAAGTTTCCCTGCCTGATGATGCTAAAGTAGAGTGGATGGACAGAAACATATTGAAGGTTCATGTGTATCAGAATGGCTCTGACCGGTATGAAGAACAGGACCTGCATTACAGAGACCGAACACAGTTAACAAAAGACCTGCTGAAGACTGGAGACCTCAGTCTGACCCTGAAGTACCCCACAGACTGGGACAGAGGCATCTACACCTGCACCGTCTACAGCAGGGAGGGAAACATCCTGAAAAAGAAACAAGTGGAGCTGAAAGTCAGAGGTCAGTGCTGTACAAACATGTCAGAGGTGAGAACAATGTTATTGAGATCTGTTTCTCTGAATGAAATCAAATGAGGCAACACAGGACATTTTTTTATACTACAAGCATCTATTCTATAACATACGTCCAGCAGAGGTGGGAAGTAGTGAAGTACAAATACTTTTCCAGGAATCTGTACAAGCTTGAAGGACAAAGACCGCTTGCAGAGGCGAAAGGAGAATGTTTTGTTGTTTACATATATAATTTTTTTTCAAGAATTTCAGGCAAACATTTTTCACTTTATCATTACATATTTAGAATAGAATAGAATAGAATTCAACTTTACTGTCATTGCACATGCACAGGTACAGGGCAACGAAATGCAGT